GGTAGTCAAGTCTCACTCAGAGCTTGACATGATTCTAGGGCAGTAGGTCTCAACCTTTAGCATGCATAAGAATTACCTGGAGTGCTTGTTAAAAAGGATGTTTGGACCCTCAGTGAACTTGTATTTCTAACAAACTCCTAGGAAATGCTGATGCTGCTGGTCCAAGCACTACACCTTGACTAAAAAATTTATATTGGGGAGTTTCATTGACCAGGTCCTGGTGCCACGTACCCAGTGAATAAATCGCCCTCCATCCTTGTCAATAACTTCTGGGGCTCTGATCCCACAAAAAAACTCTACATGAGGAGTTCTAAGTATCGCGGGCCTTTTGCGTGATCCGATCCTTCTGCTGAGTGTTGTCATTGGGCCATCAGCCCACAGCAATCTCAAGAAACCATAGCGGTTGGCTTTCTGGGTCTTTCACTGATACCACTATTTATGGGAGGCATCATGGCCATAAAATCATCCCAACAATTGTTTAGTGCTGGAATGGAGCGAGATCTACCGAGCTGTCTCCTGGGAACTAGAATAGAATAGAGCCCTTCTTTCTCACCAGCATTGTAACTTTGTTCCTAATTTCTTGCTTGCCCCACATTCTTGAGAAAAGCTTTATGCTCATTCTTTAGCCAGAGACCCGAGTCCTTAGCGAATGGATACAAGAGACTTTGGATGGGAGCGTTATCTGGCTCCCAACAGTACCAGTTGGTTCCCCGGGCCGTATTCTTAAAATAGAAAAATGACAAATTACAGCTGTGCCAGGGCTACATTTGGCGTAATCCAGAGAAGATGTTTTGAAGTGTCTGAAGGACTCAACCACAGGAATCTTGACAGTGCCAGCCAAGATATCTGAGGTCCAAGGAGGGCAAAGTCCAGGGACCATCCAGTACTCGTGGGGGGATTCCAGCTAAGCAGAAGCTGGGATTTGGACATGTCTGGGCATGCCTGGAGTCTATTTACATGACAACTTCTGGCTAGAGATTGACTGCATGCTGATCTGAATAGAAAGTGGAATGGGAAAAACAAATTCGGACCCAGGTTTTGAAAAATTCTTTTTGATAAACAAGTTTATTAATGAAATAACATGTCATTTTTATATCTGGCGAGTGTATGGTTTACATTAGGATTTTTGATCATTTAGAAATCATGTATTTAGGAATCTATAGTCCTCATGTAGGAAATCGTGTGAACATGAAAGATTGGTTTAATTGCGTTGACTCCCAGGGGCTGCACCGGGTGTATGAGTAAAGGGACAAGTGCCACGTTTTGTGGCTTTGGACATGGTGGTGGTGAGTGAGTGTCTTCCTCAAGTTCTAAGAAAAATAATTTATAAACCTATTATTTTGAACTGTGTACTTTCGCTGCAGCACCTACTTCCTGAAATTTTGTTAAATATTAACATGGCTACGACACTTTTCAATGATGTTTATCTTCCATTAAAGACTCGTTTACACCTGTGCCCCTGGCCGGGCACGGTGCCGTGTCTCCCGCCTGGCATTTTCCAGGTTGGGTTTGCTGGATGAGCTGCAAGTCCATATTTTCCCCCTCTAATTAATAACAATTATTATAATCCTAGAAGACACTTAGTAACTGACATTTTTATGTGCCAGGCACTGATCTAAGCGCTTTACACATCTGATTTCTTTTAATCCTCACAACAGTGTCACGAGGCAGACTTCCATCATTCTGATGACTACGCAGGGAGGCAAATGCAGGGAGGCTCACTGACTTGTCCAAATAACGGACAGCCAGCGGTAGTGGGGCAAACGTCTGTCTTTTTTTTTTTTTTTTTAGTGTTTGGAGTGTTTTAACAAAGCTCCTCAATCACTCAATCACACAGGGAAGAAAATGCTGTTTCTCAGTTTGGGTATGGTTTGGGTGTCAGGAATTCCCACCACCAATTACGATTCTTTAAGTAGCCTTGGTAAAGTCACCAGAATTATTCTCTAGAGTCTTTTTGTCATTCAAAATGATTCTTTTAAAAAACCTTTTATCCTCACTTGAGGATATTTTTCCATCTATTTTCATACAGCGTGGGAGAGAGAGAGAGAGAGACATTGATGTGAGAGAGAGACATTGATGTGTCAGAGAGACATTGATGTGAGAGAGAGACATTGATGTGAGAGAGAGACATTGATGTGAGAGAGAGACATTGATGTGTCAGAGAGACATTGATGTGAGAGAGAGACATTGATGTGAGAGAGAGACATTGACGTGAGAGAGAGACATTGACGTGAGAGAGAGACATTGACGTGAGAGAGAGACATTGATGTGTCAGAGAGACATTGATGTGAGAGAGAGACATTGATGTGAGAGAGAGACATTGATGTGAGAGAGAGACATTGATGTGACAGAGAGACATTGATGTGTCAGAGAGACATTGATGTGAGAGAGAGACATCGACTGGCTGCCTCTCGAACAACCCCGACCAGGGTCAGGGACCCAACCGCAACCAAGATACGAGCCCTTGACCAGAATCGAACCTGCAACTCTTCAGTGTACGTGCCGACGCTCCAACTGCTGAGCCAAACTGGCCAGGGCCAAAATAATCTTTTAAATGACTGACACTTCACTTGCTTTATTAGAGAATGGGACAAGCAGTCACCCTTGTGAGAACGACTTTGAAACACTTTGAACTTTATATTTGTATATAATTTCAAACTGAGAGAAAAGTTGCAACTACATAGTATTAAAAACGCTCATTTACTTTTCATTCAAATTCACTCTACTTTCTTGAGCATTTGTGTACTCTCCCTTTACATACATGTGGGGGGAAACTATAGAAAGCTATATGTTTTCTTTCTAATTCATTTCAGAGTACATTATATACAGTTTGGCCATTTTCCCTAAATATGTACTTCAGTGTGTATTTCCCAAGTATAGGAATATTGTTTTACATGGCCACACTACAGTAATCAATTTCAGTAAGTTTGACATTGATTCAGTACTTTGATTTATTTTATTATTTTTTCTTTATTGATGTTAGAGAGAGAGGAAAGGAGAGGGAGAGATAGAAACATTGATGAGAGAGAACATCGATTGGCCGCCTCCCACATGCCCCCCACTGGGGATCAGGCCCACAACCTGGGCATGTGCCCTGACTGGGAATCGAACTGGCGACCTCTTGGTGCATGGGTCCACGCTCAACCGCTGAGCCACACCGGCTGGGCCAATACTTTGATTTATGAACAGCATTCTAATTTTGTCAATATATAGCATTTTCCTCCCAAGATAGAATCCTGTCTAAGGTGTTTAGTCACTGGGTTTAGCTGCCTTGTTTGAGAATGACCCTAATGATGTCCAATTATATTTCTGCTATGCTCTAGGAGCCATACCTATTTAACATATAAACATCCGAAGTGGATATCTGATGAAAATTAGACTTCTGATATTTTTCATTATTACTTGATATTTTGCAATTCCCGATCATTACGATACAGTCATTCCAATGAAAACTAGTTACTGGAACCTTTTGTATTAATTACATTATATGCCTATGTGATTAGTTTTTTGAGTCATAGCTGAAATGCTAACAATAGCCGAGTAACATTCATGTCATTTGAATTGTAGAAGAGACTTCTATTTTGGGGTAGTAATTAGCCTGATGCAGGGTTACTGGAAAAGTGGGAAACTCCAAGGAACATGAGATTTTTTTTTTTTTTTTGCTTGAGAGGCATGATCGATGCCGACAAATATGAAATAAAAATTTTTAATAATCTGAATGTTGTTTTAAAGACAAGCTGTTGATTTCATCACTCTCTCTTGCCAAGACACACATCGGTGCCTGTTCAATTTGACGTTTTTACTCCCACTGTCAGTGAGTGTGCCTGTAGATCCCAGGACAGAGTCAGAGAGCCACTCCAGGAGGGACTGTGAAGACGCATCTGCCAGCCGTCTTCCCTGTCCCGAGAGCCTGTCCCTAGCGGCCGCCAGGAGCTCCCAGGCACTGGCGTGACTGCCGTGTCCGCCGTGTCCCCCGCTAATGGCAGCCCGTGTCTCCTGCGTCTCCCACTCTTCTCTGGGAATCTGGCTAACGGAAACTTACAGGCTCCTAGGCATTACCCAGGAGGTCACTCTGTCTCCACAATTCTCATTTGGTTACCACAGCTGAGAGCCAACTGTCTTCTATAGTCATTATTTATTTAGTTTTGTAATGAAAGAAAAAACTCTTTTTCTTTTGGAATCAGACCTACAATTATTTTTAGTACTTCTTGTTCAACAGTGTTGGCAATATTGAAAGTCCCCCCCCCCCCCCGCCCGCCAACCAATCCTTATTTCTTCACATCCTGCACTTTTGATAGTTTTAATATCTGTAGTCAGTGCATCGGCACCCAATGACCTGGGAACTTGCATTGATGATCTAGTTGTTCCTGTGTAGTACAATGTATTACAGGGACCCCATAGGAACGCCGATGTCCCAAGTGCCAATCTGAGGTTCTAAGTGTATGACTTGGCTATCTAACGTTACTGCAAAATACTGACATCCTTGGCGTGTGGTTATTTACTCCCCGGCACACATGGATGTCATTGCGAAAGTCCACTCCATCCTCACCTCATCAAGTCCCTACAGTTCCAACACTGTCACGCCAAGTCCTATAGTTGATCGCCCGATATCTGCCATGTGCTTAGCCTATTTTCACTTTTCCTTGTGACTTGCTGTATGTTAAAGAGCTGAGATCCACTGTTAAGTATGTATAAAGGGTGCCTGTAGCTGTGATGAGCTCACCACAAGAACAGCTAAGACGGCTTTTCTCAAGAGGAGGTGTTCTGCTGGCTCAGCACATGGCAGGGACAACCTCGTGTGCTCTTACAGAGTGGGCGCGAAACCTCGGGGCCCGTTAGCTCTCAGACTCCCTGGGGTGGTTTGTATTTCACTCTGCTTTGGAGCAGCTCCTGCCCTGGGCACCTCCTTCCAGTGACAACTAGTTCCCAGCAAACGTAGTATATACATTTTCACCCCAAAGCCCCTACATGTTCTTTGACACCACCAGCAATGGAGATCGTTGGCTTTTTAAAATTTTTTTATTTTTTCACTCATCATTTATTTACAAATACACATTATAACTTTTATATACATTGCACATTTACATGGTAGAAAAGTACAAAACTATATATTTAAATGAATTTATATTTAACTTGCCATGTTTGAAAATATAAAATTGCATCAGAAAAAAGCATTATGAAAAGCAAGAAACTTGAACTGATAAAGCTTCCATATGACTTTTCGTGACACACTCGTTGAAAAGGAACTAATTTAAAGGTACAGAAGACCAGCTGAAAGGAAACACCTGGGGAAGGTGAGGGTAGCGCGCCCTCCTCAGCCCCCGGACCCCATCACTCGGTTTCTTTGGCTCTGTCACAGTACATCATTAGAAGTCGAGCATCGCGATCGCCTGTCTCACAGACGTCGCCGTCACAAGAGCACTGAAGGAGGAGTCCCCTCAAAGACGTCTCCCCCGTCCCTTCTATTGGAGTCAGTTACAATGCCTTTTGGTCAGTCAAGATTCCTTGTAAACAAAACCCGAGGGGTCATGTATGTACAGAACAGGCAGCAGAGAACCCAATAAATAAACATGACAAACTGACATGCAAGTTTGTTAAATTGGAAAGGAGTCTAACAACAGCGAGATGCAGGGGACAGGTGAGTGAGACGGTAAGGAATGGACTTAAATGGTTTACAAGGAAAAAAAAAAAAGAAAAAGCTTCCACTTGACAAGCAAGAGACCTCACAATAAATAACAACTGCTCTTCCTTTCACGAATAAATTTCTTCAAAAACAAGGTGTACAGTCAACCAGACATTTTATGTATAAATTATAAAACATGACACAGTATAAATAAATGTCTACAAGTCTCAACTACGGGCCTCATCCAGTAGACCTCACAATGACTGCCTCTCCGTGTCCGAAGGGTAACAAGGTGGCCTGGGAGAGAGCTGGAGGACAAAGGTCCTGTATGTATAGTTTCCCCCCAAATAAATAAGCGTACACTTATTTACAGTATGGACAATATATATTTTTTCTTTTTCTTTTTTCTTTTTTCTTTTTCTTTCTTTCTTTCTTTCTTTTTTTTTTTTTTTTGCCCAAAGGCTATGCCAACCCTGGTGGAGGCTTTACCAGTCTAGAATGGAAGATATAGGGAAGCTGTAGTCCTGATCTTCATCTTCCTCCTCTTCCTCGGTGTCTTCCGAAATGGCTAGATGGGGGAATACAGGGGAGCTGTTGTTTAAATGTGGACCACAACAGCGTAGAAGCAGCTCAGTGTATGTTTCAAAGCCCTCTGATACGGCCACATTACAGCGGCGCACGTTTACGTGACTTGAAGTGAGATGCTTTTTTTTTTTTTTGGGCATCTGCTGTTACGCAATACGTTTAAAAAAAAACCATAATCTATGAAGTCAAAAACTGCAGAAAGTTCTGAAGAATCAATGGCTCAGGTTTTACGGGCAGATTCCTGAAATCAGATAAAAAGCGTTCTTGTGTTCTAGGTACAACTGCTTTGGGTCCTTATTTTTCAGAGTTAGCGCGGGCGCCTGCGAGAAGCAGCCGCCCCTGCGTGATCAGATCAAGCTGTCTTTGCAAAAGAAAAAATACAAAACAAAACAACAACAACTTTGGAAGCAGTTAGTTTAGATTCAAGTGTTAATAAAACAAACAGCAAAGCACACGACTACAGCAGAAGAATGAGAGCAAGTGACGGGACGTAGGTGTTTAGAGGCAACCCCACGGACGATCACTGGACACGGTTTAGAAGTCAGGCAACATTCCAGGGCATTTTTCTGTGGGTCACTGAATTGCTGGTGAAATTTAGCCGCTACCTAACTCAAACAGAAATGAGCTGGTACTGGGGAGGTTCTAGACTGCTGGGCGTCTCCATCCCTAGGGGCTTCCTGGGAACGCCTCACACTGTAGCAAGTTTAAAACAGCACTTACAGTTGCAAGATCCGGAGTGCTTTACTTCCAGCAACACACCCGAGGAGCAGGCAGCCTCCTTCATGGCACATTCGCTGGCATATGTGGCATTGTCACTGGCACAGACGGGCTCCTCGGACCTACTCTCAGAGCACAGCTCATCGCACAGGGAACATCGACCTCTGCCAACCTTGAAGTCCCATAAACACTTTTTTCCACCAGTGCACTGGATATCTTCACAGGACTTTGCTTCTAGGATATAATATACCTGTGATTAGTAAATGGACTCTCTCTTTGCCCCTTTTCTCCCTTTCTCTACTACCCTCTCAAGAAATCCAAATATATAACTTGTATCTTCTTACTCACTAATAGGGATAATGAAGATACGCAAACATGCTTGAGAATAGAACGGAGACACACACGAATCCCCAGCTTCCTACATACTATATCTGTGCATCAAAACAGCATTTTTGGAACAGGATTTCACAGTATCCTAGAGTTAAAGAGGTACTTGATGATTTCGTGGGATCTTTAAAGAAAGAAAGAATCCCACCAATTATCAGAACCTAATGACAGATTTTAAGAACTGTTAAGTAATTGCTTCTTGCTTCTAGCAAGTCTGGCACTTAAAAAAAAAATGTGTAAAATTGAGTTCTAAGTTTTCTAAGACAAAATCGTTTCCTGTTTCTTGCCAGTATTTGAATGTACGAGCCAACGCTTCCGGAAGACAGTGGTTTCTTAGAGGAATGCTGGGAGTGTTTCTCTCTCGGGGGAAACTTTGCATCTGGGGAGGTTTTGAGCTTCTTTATTGGGTAACCCCGGTTTTAACTCTAGAACTAGCCTTTTCATTCCTATTTTCTCTTTTTGTTTCTCAATGCAGAATACCTACTGATACACTTTCCCTCGTAGGCTAATCCAATGGACCTGCCCAGGAGGCAGGTAGCCTTCCGCAGGTGACAGGCACTGGGGTAGGTCACTCCATCGTTCCCACAGAGGGACTGCTCAGAGGAGCTGGGCTCCGGGCAAATCCGGTTACACGTCACACAGTAGGCATTATTGGTCTGGTCCACCACACAAGTGGAGCTGCCTGGACAGAAAACATCCCGACAGGTCTCTGAAATAAGGAGGGAGACACGTTAATAGGCACCTTGTGGTCCTCAGGGAGTGAAAATGTGGTATTATCAAGGAAATCACAAAATGGATGAGTCCAACTTTCAAAAGGCACTTGGGAGCCCTGAAGAAACCCATGACTTTAGGTCGGTCCTTCCCGTGTTCTTAAGGAGTATTTTGAAGTTAGAAAAGGGTTCCTTTTCTTGGTGTGTCTTTATTATCATCATTAGGCCCTTCCAGGGGACTACCCACCCCCTGGGACCGGCTGGTGGGTCTGCTTACTTTTACACTTGCCCTGGTACTGGACTTCCAGCTCGGGCTGCTCTTTGCACCTGGCCTTGAGGAGCGCGCACTCGTTGCGGTAGGTTTTCCCGTCCAGTCCACAGACCGGGCCTCTCCAGGTGATGTTGGAGCAATCTGGGGCGCAGACGCAGCGGGGTTTGTTCTTCTTGTTCATCCGGCATTTTTTCCCGGGGCCACAGTCCACGTTCTCGCACGTTTCTACCAGTTGGAAAGAGGCAAGGATTAAACCAGGGCCAGGCAGGATGCAGGTCAGCTGGACCACTGCGGGGGGAGGGGGGTGACTTGCGCAATTGCGCAGTTGGCGCCTGAGGGGCCCAGGCTCCCTCCCAGAAGTTGAGGAGGGGTAGAGGGGGGAGGGAACGACACTGGGCCTCGCCCGGTACTCTCCAAGAGCCCGGGGTGGCTGGCTTCACCACCACACTTGGCTAAGCAATCCAGGAACCTCTGCCGACCTTGTTTTGCGTAAAGTATGCAACAGGCAAGACTCGACCCGAGGGCTTCCCTGCTTCCCGGGGCTGGGGGAAGAGAGAGGGACCCCGGCACAAAGCTGGGCAGTGGGGAGACCGAGGGTAAGACGCCCTCTACTGCGGGCCTGCCTGCAGCTGGGGGAGGGAGAGTCCCACCTTTACAGGGGATGCAGTTGGGGGCGCCCCCGTTGAAAATCATCCACTTGAAGAGCGTGTTGTCGTTGACGTCCTCCTCGGTCCACGAGGTGCTCAGGCGGCCGGTGCTGCAGCACTCCTCCTTGCTCAGCTCCGTCTTGTACAGGACCTGGCAGCGGCCGTTTCTGGCTTGGCGGAGCCAGCAGTTCCCAGCTGCGAGGAGACGGGCGGGAGGTGGGCGAGCGCGGCGGGGAGGGGAGGGGAGGGGGCGGCGAGCAGGCCGGGAAGGAGCCCGGAGGGATGGGGAGGGAGAGGCGTGGAAGGGGCAGGAGACCCGGACCAGCAGAAACCCCGGGAAGGCCGCGGAGGGTGGGGAAGAAGAGAGGCAGCCCAGACTGGAGAGGTGGGCGGTGGGCGAGGGGGGAGGGCGCGAGCCAGTCACCGGGACCCAGACACAGCACGTGCGCCCGCACTGACTTTGACTAGACTTTTATTCGTCCCATTTCATAACCTGCAGCGACTCGAAGAGCCGATTAAAGAACTTGACACAAACAGGACGCGACGGATGTTTTTACGTGTTGGTTCCACGTAGGCGGAGTGGGTATTATATGTGACAGGGGTGAAGGAAGTGGGAGGACTTGAGAAAGACAGAGAAAGAGTGAGGGGCCGAGGCAGACACAGCACACAGGAGCAAACCAAGCCAAAGGCACTTGTGAAAAATGAAAGCAAACAGGCAGCCGATTGCTGCCCGGCCTCGGGGCGCAGCCCGCCCGACGGGCCCGTTTTGCAATCCGCCAGGCCCAGGGGACGCCCGCGGCCACCGCGGTCTTTCGAAATCTGCCAGGGCTGCTCTCCCGGCGCCCACGTCCCCGGCGCCCAGCGGCGCCTCGCCCCGAAGGCGGGCAAGGAGTGCGGGGCGGACGGCGGTGGCTTCCAACACGCAGGGTGAACGCGAGAGCAGGGGCTGTCACACCTCCGAGAGGAGAGAAGTGTAGGGGAAAGGCACCGGGCGAGGGGAGGCTTCCTCCCATTTCCCGGTAGCATACCTATCCTGCACCTACCAAGAAATCTCTGCAAGTACCCTCCCCCCTTAACGTTCGGGTTTGGGTCGGGCCGACTTCTCATGAATCATCCATACAACTTTAACAATAATTGCACTATACGCTGCTATTACTTCTTTTAAAATCTGCTCAAAGACGAACTGAAATAAATCTAATGAAAATACTTTAGAAATTTGCTTTCGATGCATCTCAGAATTTAAATCAGCTGTGGGCTCCTTACCGTTCTACAGAAAGTTAACAGTCAGAGAGAGGAGTCAAAAGGGGGAAAAAAAAACTGTAAACTACTTAAAACACTGCGGAGTAATAATTTGGGTCTTTTTTTTTTTAAACCAGGGTTCGGGGGAGGGGGTCGGAAGAAGCATTCACTGGGCAGAAAGCTTCTTCCCTTTACAATTTCCAGCACCCACATTTCCAAGTTTGGGCAAAGTTTCTGAAACCACGTCCCCCAGTCACCGAAGAAATTTCGGTTACCCCCCCACCCCACAACCCCAGGCATTTTTTACAAAGTACCCAAAAGGTGGGAGAGGAAGAGACGTTAAACTGCAAACGAGTCGGCTGAAATCGCCAGGCTCCTGATGCTTGTCCCCTACTCCAGAGCCAAAGCCGAGAGATAACATCTACTCTCATTATGTCCAGAACTTGGAGCATCTCACCCTAACTCCCTTTCCTTTTTAAGGACAACCGCGCTCCGAACTCGGCTCCCAAAGTGTCACTGCCTCGGCCCCCCACTGCTCTCCATCCCGGAGTCGCTGAGTTGGTCCGAGGATCCGAGAACAGCGGCGCTTGCAGCAGACCCGGTGGGGACGACGGAAAAGTACAAGCCCTGCCTCGGCCGAGCCCGGCGCATCCCGCGTCGCTTACCCTGGGCGCTGCGGTCCTCCATGAACTGGCAGAGCAGCAGCAGCAGGAGGCAGAGCCCGCCGGGCTGGTGCCGGGAGCGGCCCATCGTGGGGCAGGCGCGGGCGAGGAGCGGCGGTGGCCCGGGCGGGCGCAGAGGCGGGCGGCGGAGGGCGCAGCGATCCCGGCGCAGCCCCGCGCTCGCCGCCGGCCGCCGCGCGATTCAATGGACGTCAGGAGCCGGGCGCAGCCGCGCTTTAAATCTGGACGGGGGTCTCCGCGGTGTGCGGTGGGCGGTCTCCCAGGGTGTGGGGCAGCGGGAGGGCGGCCGCTAGCGCGGGTGTGCGCGGCTCCTTGGGGGTGGGGAGCTTTTAAAAGTTCAGTGTGAATCAGGTGACATTTCCCACCTTCTGGAAACCCTTCCCAATTATCTGCTGGAGGTGCCCGAAATCAAAGCGGCAGGAGGGGAATCGCCGAGTTCTTATTGCGTAGCAGCGAGAGGGAGGGGGGAGGCGACCCGGCGGGGGTGGGGGCGACGCTTCGGGGGTGGGGAGTGGGGAAGAACACCCACTTCTGGTCCTGCACGCCGCCGCTCGCAGACAGCGCCGGCGCGCGCGGGGTGGCGGGTGTGTGTGTGAGTGTGTGTGTGAGTGATTGTGTCTGCGCGCGCGTGCGCGCGGCGGGGGCGCGGGGGGGACCCGGAGTTTGTGTGCGCACCGCCGCTCCGCTCCAGGAAGACTTTGCAAACGCCCAAGAGCCCGGAGCTGCTGCACATCCCGCCCGCGCTCGAGCCGGGGCGCGCCGGGTGTCGGGCCCCCGCAGCCGGTCGCGGGACAGGCGACGTTTTGTGTCTGGGTCTGTGCGTGCCTCACTTTGCGGCCACCCCCAGCCCCAAGCTGTGGCCAAGAACCCCGGCCCCTTTCACTCGGGCTGAGCCGGGCCCAGACGCGGCCCTCGGTCTCCGGGAGTCGGGAGCAAACAAAAATGTTTAACACCTCGGGCCCGGCCTCCCCCGACGCAGTGTCGCCCTCTCCCTTTCTCTTCTCCCCTTTCACGTCGCCGCGTCTGGAGTCGCAGCGCGGAGCTGGGGCGCCGACGTAGGCGGTCTGCCCCTCCCCCGCTCCGAGGCTCCCCAGTTTCTGCCCCGAGTCTCTCTCGCTGCCCCCCCCCCCTCGGTTCGCGGAATAAAAAGATTGCAACATCGATAATGAACTTCTGTAGCCTCAGTTTATTGAGCACAGTGCCTGCCATTCTTCGCTGAAAGTTGGCGGGTCTCTCATTTATAACATTTTTGGCACCGCTGAATGAAACTGAGGAGGCGATATTTCCTTTTATATAAAACGATTACTTCACGGAAAATGCTATATTGTTTATTCCAAAGCTGCCTTTTAAATTTCTATTCTTTTCGCTTCTGGAGCCCGAAGGACAACAGACAGCGAAGTATGCAGACAAAATTCTTGGACATTCGCAGGTCACTGGGATTTTCTCCTACGGATTTCGAATCCATCCCCTCCCCCCAACCTCCCCCCGCCAGGCCGGCCCCCCACTTCTCCCGCCTCCCCCCCATCTTCCACCCCCCTCCACAACTGCAAATAACTCAGTGATAACAGATTTTTTTCCACCAACTGCAGAAGATAGTGCTAATCTTTTAATAAAAGATCCCATTACAATGGGATCTGTCTGGACAGACTATAATAGATCCCGAAATACAGCCGTGCTAATATTAGAAGACAGTTGTTTGGGTGCCTCTCAGACGGGCCCAAGCCCCCCTTTGAACGTGGGCATGAATCACAAAGCCCCGCGGCCGCCGCACCTGCACCGCGCGCACTCCGTGCTGCAGGCTGGTAAAAACCGGTGACCCCGCCGCTGCTTTTCGCTTTATAATTACCGTCCCGAGGACGAGCGGGGAGGGGCGCAGGCGGCCCCGGGCGGGGGAGGGGGGGGCTTTTTGCTCACTTCAGACGGTTCTGGGACTCCACATCCCTCTTAATCTTTCCAGATTCACTCCTCTCTTCCCTCTTTTCTCTGTCCCTCGAGTCCGCCCACCTCTTCTCCCTGCTCTCCTGACTCTGCTAGCCCCCCTTCTCGCCTTCCTTTCTCTTCCCTCCAATGCAGCGCTAATGTGGAGTTGTTTAGTGCCCTCTAATGGCAGACGACATTAACAATTAATAGCCAACTGTCCCCTTTGCAGGAGCCGCCACTCTGTGGCAGAGTTCCAAAGCTGAATTTATTTCTCCTTTATCCAGAGAGATGGATATAGTGCTTATATAGTAACAGGCAGGAAGGGTCGTTTTCCCCCATTGAAGCCCCCCCCCCCCGGAAATCTTAGTTGAAGAAAAGGGGAAGGCTAACAATTATTGTCACTTGACTTCATGTTTCTCATACAAAATTATCTTTTAATAGCAGCCAGAGACACAGCTTCTGTTTTCGCTAGGTTTATCAAACCGTGTATCTAGGGTTGGAAAATAAGTGAAATATTCTAAACACTTTTAAAGATCTTAGGGAATAAATGATGGGATTCATAGCAGGTGCTGCCAATGGCCAATAAAAACTTTTAAGGCCCAAATGTAATGATATGATTCTATATGTGCCCCCTGTTTAAATGGATTTATCGGTCCTGAATCTGCTGTAGCCACTGGAAGCTGGGAAAGTAGAATTCTCATTAGATTTTTGGCCCTGGGATCATTCAAAACATTAAAATTTTACTCATGCGGGGTCATATATGAAGTCATCTTGCCTAGAGGAATGTAGGGTCACATTTTAATCCATAGTTTATTTTCTCCATACTTTTGAGAAGATTGCTTTAAAGACTATAATTTACTCATATTTTGTAACCTTACAGCAATGATAATAGTGATGCAACTCTCATGTTTTTATTAGATTTAACTCTTGTTCACTTGCATGTGCAAGTATATAAATAAATATATAGGTTAATATAAAAAGAGCACACAGATATGTACAATATGGCCTTCCTTTTTTGGGGCTGCGGATGGGGTGGAGGATCCATGTGATCAAACGAAAAATAGAATAGAGGCAAATTTTGGGGGTTAATCAAAAAATATTTATCTGGATATTTGAGCAAACATATTTGGTTTATCCACATAATTATTTTAGTGTATGTATATCAAACAACTGGTGTCATAAAAAAATTCTAAATTAATTTAATCCAGGGTGTGTGTACACATTTCTAGTATGATGTGTGGAAAGTAAAAATTCTGTTTCTGTTTTATATTTTGTCTACACCATGCCAAGTACTCAGACCCGCCATTTGACTGAATCGATGGTGGCGACTCGTGGCTTCAGCATCAGGAGCACAAGGCCAGGCCGAGCGGGCACAGTAGCTCTCATTGTGGAAAATGCCTCGGCTCTGGCGTGCTCCAGTGTCGGAGGCCGGCCCAGTGCAGGGTTACTACTTGCCCCGAGAGGGTGGCTCTGCGGGTCAGGGTCGAGGTTCCTGGCAAACACACTGTGGAAAACACAAGTGCTGTGTTGCTCTTATCCTTGTGAATAAGCAGCTTGGTGTTTGTTCAACGATACAAGCTCATCCTGTTTTTCAGCTGCACCTTGTATCGTATTGATCTGTTTGGGAGAACGTCTGCCCTGAATGGGCACAGATCGGCCACCAGAACTCTTGTTGGCCCTGGGTATTTTGGAGCCAATCTGAGGAAATGATACACAGGTCAATACTGGCTCCATATGGGCCTCCGTGGGCATCCGCAAGAGAGCCATCCAGTTTCCGTGGTGTGAAATGGCATGACACCTGTTCATTGACATCACAGGAAAACAGCTGCTGTCTCCTTGACTGTTTTATCTCCTGTAAATGTCAAATATTGGGGTCGTCGGTGTCTAAATGTCAAGGGCACATTTTAAAGTAAAAATGCTCTCTTTCATTTTTGTTGTATGCCTCCAAGTTTGACTTCAAATTTTTTTCCTTTCTGCGCTGCCAAAAGAGTCAATGTAAATCACGAGAAACACAATAGGACCACTTTGTAACGGACTTTCTGGGCAGCACACAAAAGACCACTGTTCTTATGATTGTTTTTTTGTCAGCTTCAAAAGCTATCTTCCTTCTGAAGTTTATAAATTTAAAATATTAGAGTTTAACAAATGATTGAATCTAGCTCCCAAGAAAGCTGTTTGAAATCATGTGAAATGGTTGTTTGAGACCAGAACTGACCTGGTTAAATTTCAATCTCTGAAAAGAGAATATGGAAGCAGTGGGGTGAGGGTATGCATGGGAAATTCGAAAGTGATGGAGTGGGTAGCTTAGCTTTGCCTTAAAATTGAATGTCAAACTTTTTTGAAGTTAGGTGTTTTGCAAAATGAATATTAAGCTTTCAAATGCCAATACTCAATCTTGATTAAACAACAGGATTTAAGCACTTGAGAAATAGGCTGAAATGTTTTTAAAATCAGATTTTGTTCTTCTAGGTACAAAAAACAGTTACTTAATGCGTCATGGTCATTGGAATTATGCAACTTTCTAGGCTAGAATGAGAACTTGGAGTGGAGTGGGGGGTAATAGTCTGCACTAGCTGAATTGTTGCAGAACTAAAAAGTTAAGAAATGTGAGTACGTAGAAGCAGTGTTTATCCATGTTGTCCAAATCACCAGTTGATTAATTTTTTTAAAAGCCATTAGAATATGTTTTCTATATAGTACCGAGGAAGCAGTTAATTGATACTTGAACTTTTCTGTTTTCAAGGGAGCCTGGATGTTATATAGAGTCAGTCAATCATGAACAGAACTTTCTTTTGATACTAGTTTCATTTTTATTGCCTTATTTTCCCCTCCACATTTAGAAATAGTATTGGTTTCCCTAAGTCGTCTAGGATATGTCACACTGGCTGTATCAGCGTATTCAAGTTTAACATAATTCATTAAAATAAACCTTAGTAAGGAATTCAAAGTATGTCTGAGGAAAGAAATGTTATACTGAATTGATCAAAACTTCTAAATAGTTTACTATATTTCGGTCACTTTGACAATACAAACGATTCATACAGTTGGTTATAAGGGAAAATATCAGGGTGTGATGGTTAGCTCTTGCAACCCTCATTCCAGTTACACTTTCTACTGTAGTGAAAGTGTGACCATAGCAAATTAGTATTTGCTCTTTTGTTCTACTACTTTATGATTGAAACAATGTGTCAAAGTCATAGCCACCTCCCTGGATTAGTCACTGGCTGAAGGTGAGTTGGTATGCTGTAGTTACTTTTCATTGAGCAACAG